GGGGGGGGGGGGGGGGGGGGGGGGGGGATCAAAATGTTTGACCCTTTGGGCAAAGTTTTTAAAAAAACGAAATTTAAACGGTTGAATTGAATCATCTTAAATTTCGTTTTTTGAACTTTGCCCGAAATTTGGGGACATGAAAACGCAATGATGAACTAATTTTAAACTTACCGAGACAATGTTGAGGCAAAGTAAGGGGAAATTGAAACCTTTGAACTGACGTATTTGGGGGTCCGAACTCCCCCTCCCCTTAAAATTAGTTTGAAGTGATCTCTTTGATTTTTACCTAAAAGTGCTTTCAATTTGATAAATCTTCCCGTTTTATTTTTTTCTCTACGATAATTTGAATCGGAGTCATGATTTTTTGAAAATAGGTCAAATTTGACCTTTGATCTATCATAACTCAGTCAAAAATTAAGATATTGATCTGCGGTTTGCGCCAAAATTCTCAGTTTTTTCTGTTCTGTCCAATGATGTCTCACAAGATAGGGGTTATCCTTTGAAAAAAAAAAAGTTGCCCCCCCCCCCCGAGTGAGGGACAAAAATGTTGACCCCCCTAGAAGATGGTCTCCTTTAAGATAGAAACATTCCCAAAGTTTCGTTCTCCTATCTCTAACTGTTCAAATGTTACCGGGGGAGGGGGGGTACGGATTTTTAGGACACCCTTTATGTCTAATTTTTCCCTTGATCTCCCTCTTACATTGGAAAAACAACAAATTACCCCTCTTTTCTTTGTGAACACAGCAGCTTCCTCAAAAGCGATAGAAAGGAAATGAAAATGAAAATTCTAGATTCAAAAATGTTTCATTACCTAAAGTTTTCTTAAGTTATTTATTAGATTAGTTCAGAAAAATTCCAAGTGTTCTTTGCAAAATGTCTTGTTCCTAAGAAAGAAATGGAGGAAATCCTGATTAACCGAGCAGAAAAATAATATAGTTAACACTTACCACAATCACTGTTATCATTTTCGATCTAATTAAAAAACCGTAGAGATAATCTATTGGAAGTGTCCTGAGCGAGAAATCTGCAACAGTATATTAACTCAAAATTATATAACGGGTAAAATTAGAGAGATGTAAATTTACCCTCCCCCCCAATACTCAAGAACCAACACTAATGGATACTGAGGTTCGGCAAACAGTGTATCACATTAAAGATATAGGCAGAATTGGCCCAAATGCCCCCTCCTCTATGATATTGACGAAATCGAAAGAATTGTACCAGAGGAAACGCTAGCCATGCTGCCCCAAAGGCTAACCCGTTTTCTCAAAAAGCACCAAAATTGTATTAGATCGACTTTACCGCATTGCCTCCAAGAATGCGTTTTCTACTAGAAATCCTTGTAGGACCCCAAAAAATGGCCAATCGGAGAGAAAAATGTTTTGGCCCCGAAATACTTGCTTTACAAACTTTTTGCAAGCAAACTTCATCAGTAAGTCTCCTGATCAACAATCTGTAAGTTCACCGCCGTTTCACCCTGGAACACCCCCCGAAATGCCTAAAATTTAAAATGGCGGCCATAAAAAGGCCTCCAGAATTTCGGTATTTTAGAATCCGTGTAATTTTGGTCGTCGATTTCATATTTGAAGCCTCCCTGTCAAAGAGGCTCCCCTAACGCTAAGATGGCGGCCAAAGAGGGTTACTCAAAATCGACGATTTTGCCTGGATTTGGAAATGTTGTTCCCTTTGATGTTGTTAATCCTGTGATGTTGCATACTCCAACGATTGAAGGCGCCCCGCTTGACAATTTTAAAGTCAGCAAATTATTGCTCTTGGCCAAATAAAGGAATTAAAGGTGATACCTTTGATTTCCTTTAACTAGAGGGTATTTGAAAGATAACATTTCTGGAATTTTCATTTTTCGCGTTTCCTCAAATTTGCCGCCACGTTGAATTTTCCAAAATTTTATTTTGAAACAGTGCCATCCGAACTTGTGACAACGTCAGTTGTTTTTCCTTTTCCTAAAAGGCACTTTTCAAACTTTTCATTCCTGGTTTGTTTTTGTTTTTTCGATAATTTGGAGCTCAACGGCGATTTTTTGAAAAGTGGTCAATTTAAAATTTTGACCGGCTATAACTTTTGAGCGAGTGAACCAATTTTAATTTTGTTTTCGCCATTCTCCTTGTCTAAGTTCTTTCTAACCGGTATAATGCATTGTATACTATCTCCAAAATTACTTTATAGGTATACACCAAGCAAACTTTTACGACTAATTAGGAACTTACATACAATGAATCATCGAAGCTAACGCACTGGAACTGACGATTACATTTTTATTAAGAACTAATATGTTTGTTGTTAATGAATTTAGAATCCCTGCAGATTACATCTTTCTTGGTTCCTTTTTACGAGGTACTGAACGCAATTACAGTAATACTGCACGAACATGATTGATTTAATGAGTAATGATTACTCGAAAGCGCGTTATCACCCGTCCAGGTTTGTTGACATTTTTGTTGTTTAAATACACGGGGATACGAGCTAAGGAGGTGACGCTCTGGGCGGGCGGGTGGTGAACCATTTCCAGCGGGGAGATTCAACCGCCAAATTTGAAATTTGGGATCGATGCTAGGCGATACCCATTTTATTATAAGACTATTAAAACATTGAATAGTAGTTCTACCCATTAAAGTAGGTTTTTAATATCTTTTTACCGTGCTTAAGGAAAGATTATAATATATTATCATATCGAAAGTATGATGCCAATTAATCTAACAGATCCTAATGAATAGTAGAGAAGCTAAGATTTTTAAGGATCGCCCTCTTTACTTGGAGGCATCATTAATCAATTATTTAATTGAAGACGCCTCATAATATCGGCAAGTCGATTCTGAGTATATGAATTCATCACATATGATGAATGGGAAGAATTTCAAGGATAAATATTTATAGCTTCCCGCCAAAATAAGCACTTATTCCTAGGAAATTTGGCAACTCTCGGATGTTCCTACGGCGTTCTTCCTGAACGCGATAGAATACTACGTGACACTGGCTGCGGTCGAGTTAGGGCAGATGTCGGGCGGGGAAGGGATGTAGATTCCAAAAAGATGTAACAATAACTGACTTGAGTGGATTGGTATTGGTTTTTTCATGATTATTAGAAGGATTTTGGAAAAATAAAAAAAAAATAGTAGAAAAAATATTAAGAAACTTGCTGCTTCTGTTTTTTTTTTTTTTACAACAAACCTTACAGATCAAAAGTTTAGGGGGCCTCTTGCCATACCCTTTCTTTTAAAAAAGAATAAGAGGTATTAAAAATTACCCCCCAGATTAGAGTAACCTTGATTTTCTCTCGTTTTTTTTCATGAATTCAACGTTGGCTAGGAGTTTAATTTTTAGGTTAAGTACTCCCTACAGTCCTGCCCGGGCGGAAACTTTATAAAATTGATTAGCCTTGAGTGGAAACCTCCGAATGAGTATATTTGAGGTAAAATGTGACTCAGAATAGCCCTGACAGTGATTCGAAAGGTTCAAGTAATTTTTTATTTTTTTTTTTTTAAATGAAAAAAGAATATTTCACTAATTGTGAAACTTTCAGGCCGAAATGAAATTTCATGAAATGTCATGTGAAATTTTATGAAATGTCATATTAGATTTTATGTGAAATTTTTTGGTGAAATTTCATTTCGCAACTCTGTTTCCCACATAGAGGAGTGGGGTTATTCGAGCCAGTTATAGGAAAACGCTCCTAAATCTTATTTAAATTTTTTTGTCTGATCTCATGATTTAATACGATCTTCGCAACTCTGTTTCCCACATAGAGGAGTGGGGTTATTCGAGCCAGTTATAGGAAAACGCTCCTAAATCTTATTTAAATTTTTTTGTCTGATCTCATGATTTAATACGATCAAGTATATACTCTCAGCTATTTAATTTATGCCGGAGTAAATGTTTTGTGCATAAAGGAAAGTCAAAATCTGCATTTAAGCAGGGTAACCTTTTCAGATTAAATTCCCTCGAATTTCGGTCAGAAAGTCGGATGCCTTTGTCACTGTCACACTATCAAAGCGTTCCATCAAAACGTCAGGTCAGCGCTCTGCGTATGTCCGTTTCTGGGACAAAGAAATAGAAGAACCAATCAGAGCTCTTTAACCCTTCAAAAGCGTGCAGCCTTGCACGCTTTCGAAGAGAAGCTGCTGCGCGCGCATCCGGACCTCGACTAGGGATGGTCGAATATTTAGATATTCGAATATTCGATATTCGAGTCATCGGCACCGAGGTAATCGCATCACATTCGAATATTCGCTTCCGAAGTGTTCGAAATCGCAAATTCGAATAATCGCATTCAAAAGTGACAAAAGTGTCATTTTGTCTCTCACGGTTCATAAAAAATCAAAAATCAAAGCAATAATCGAAAATATTCGAATATTCGCATCCGAACTATTCGCAAATCGCAAGATTCGAATTCTCAAATATTCGCAATAATCGCATTCGAAAAGTCCATCCCTAACCTCGACATTTTGATGGGAGTGTTTTGATAGTGTGACACAAGCATGATAGTAAGAATGAATTTGTTTCTGTGGAAAAAGTTGCCAAACCTCGTCGTAAATTATGATTAAATAAACCTCTGTAAATTTTGAAGAATGCACGGATGAATTTCTGTAATTTTCATTTTGCTGTTGCCGGATGATTTCGAGCCGGTAATATACGGAATATGTCTGACT